AAGACAAATAATCTTACACATTCTGAAAACAAGATTATTAGTCTTATATGATCAGTTCTTATTTAGTAAATCAGTCTCAAAACAAGATCAAAAAGATTTTTTGGCTGGATATAAGATTTTAAAACTTGGTTAGGTGGACATTTTTTGCAGTGCAAGACCTTCTCTGAAAAAGATGTCTGGATGGGAGCATGTGTAACTCTAAAACCTGTATGTAGTTTTCTGCACAGATGGTGCACTTCTAGCTGTGTAAGCAGCCCATGCCAGAGGCACTGATGAACCCCCCATATCATCAGAGAAGCAGGCTTTTGAACTATGCCCTAATAACAGGCTGGATGTTCCTCCTCCTCTTAGAGAACATGGTTTCCAAAGATATTTCCAAATCCTAATTTGTCTGACAGAACAATTCCCTCATTTTCTTCAGTCCATTTCAAATGAGCTTTGGTCCAGAGACGATGGCTGTTCACATTTGGCTTCTTCTTTGCACTGTAGAGCTTTAACCTAATTTTATGGATTGTGTTTACAGGTGATTTTCAGAAGAGTTCCTGAGCCCATGCAAAGATGTCCACAACAGAATCAGACCTGTTTTAAATGCAGCACTGACTAAAGACCCAAAGATTGCAGGCATCTAATGTTGACTTCCAGTTTTGTCTTTTGCACACAGATTTCTTTAAACTCTTGAAACCTTTTAAAGTTATGAACTGTAGCTGACTGGATATTCAAAGCCTTCCCAATCCCAATTTTCCATTGAGGAACATTATTTTGAAACAGTTCACTTCCATTTGTTACGTTTTTCAGTATTCAGTACTGAATAACAAACCTTAACTTAAGAAAGACACACATAAAGTAGACATTCAAAACTGAATCCAACGGCAGCTCTATATATTATGCACCAAATTTATGACGTGCTACAAAAATATTTCCAAACACTGCGTTATGTACTGTCTGTACTAAAGGCAGCAGGACCATCGGGACACCCCTGTGCCAGATCGAACTCTGCTGGAGTATAAAATGGCTCTTCTCTTCTGGCTGTGAAATGTTCTGCAGGAAAACAGTTCCTTTCTATGTGAGGGCTGCCCATGGCTATTCATCATTGTGTCAGCGCTCTCAGAGGCTGCACCACTTGACTGCCTCATTGGAACAGAGGGACTGATATTCATCTGTGGGCTAATAGCGGCTAACTGACAGCGTGAAGGCATTAGACGGCTGACCAGTTTTATTGAAAATGAGTGAGCTGACAGACCTGCCAAAGGAACAGAAGTGTCTGGATTAGTCAAGCGAATCTTGTTTATTAATGCACAATGTTAAAAATTGAGGAAGGCCCACCCTTTTTCCCCCTGCACTTTGTTTGATCCTCGCCTTCCCCACCTTTGTCCTAACTAGTGTGTTTCAGCAGCCAGTTAGCATAAACACAGTGGGTGTGTGCTCACATGTTTGCACACATTGCGCAATGTCTGTTTGTGTTCATGTACTTTGGCTATTACACTCAGTAAGTGTGTGGACAAGTTGAGCAGCACCAAGTCTGCTCTGGACACTTCAAGTGCAACAACACTTAGCTCTGTGACATGATGCCTTCTGCCTGAGAACACTCAGAGAAGGAAAAAATTGAAGGACAGATTCAAAAATAGTAAGAAGCATGAATTATCCAGAACTTTATGAGACCATTACTGTGAAATAGGGCTGGCACTCAGGCTTCTGACTTCTGTGGTGACAGACAATAAAGTGCCCCAACCAGCAGAGGGGGTTCTTCACATAGAGTGAGCTGAAATACTGTCACCTGACAGTAAAACCTAATTAAAGGCCTACCATTCTTTGAAGGAGTGCATATCACCTGCTGCCTTTTGTGATTGAGTATTAAACTAAAATCACCTTGTGTTGAGAAATGAGTTGAGCTCGTAGTTATTTTGGATGGCTTGAAAATGACAGTGCGCAATCTCACGCAATATCTCAAAATATATTAAATGGTTTGTTAGTGTTAGTGTATATGTGTTGTGAAAAAAAATTCAGTAAAATTCACTGAGATATAGCCATTTATAGCTAGGGTTAATAASCACAGGTTACCATCTTGAAATGGGCTAACTTAGAATGCCTTTATTTAAAACAGGGACAGTGTGCAAATAAAACATTAAAAAGATGCTTTGCACCAGATTTAGCTTACACTAATTTCCATCTGTGGTCCCTGAACAACAAAATACAATCTAAAATCAAGACATAAAACAATAATCCATGAAAATTTTATGGTACTGGTACTGTTTACCTGTTTGGTCTCTTACAACAAATGAAATCTTAGAACCCATAGTTAGGCTCTACAACGG